GTTTCGCCGAATGCTCGTCCACCGATTTCCGTTCCATTCGATCAATTAATAAAAACATTAATTGCCGTGCCGCCGGATCTATCCTCGCCCCCCGATTTTCCCCACCGTTTTTCCATCCCCGCGGATTCTAAGTGCAGTAAATTGTTTCCAAAAGGGGAATTAAGAGATTGAAGTATTTAATTACGCTTACGCGGATCTCTCATCTATTTTCGCACATTTATTTCGAATCTTACGACGATTCTGTCCAAGTGTTTTGTCACTTTAGCGCGATTGCGTGATTTCAAATACTTTTGATATTCGAAATTATTTCTGAAAAGTCGCGTTCGCGCGAACAAATGAAACGAAAGGCGACTTTTGTCGACTCCTCTCCGCAAAGGGTTAAAGCCGCATCGCCTCCGGAACATCGGCGAGCTTCCGCGACGCGATTTCCGCGGCCGCGACCGGGTTCGTTCGTTTATTCGCGACGAATTTGTTATCGAGAGGGAGGATCCGGCTCGCGAGCGATTGAAAGGTCTGCGAAACTCGAGTCTCTTCAGACTCTATCTGGCGCGCGCTGATCGATTCTATTTCGAGGACGAGGAGAGCGAGGCGTGCACCTGTTATCTCGCCGGAATCAATGCACGATCGACGTTTCTCCGGAGGAGATTCGCGGATTCGACGAAAAAAAAGAAAAGAAAAAGGAGAAGAGAGACGAAAGCCGAGGCAAAAGAGAAAAATTCCGTCTAGCCTTACTTGGCACGGCCGAGAAATTTCTCTAGCCCTGGCGACGTCGGCGATTGGCTCGCGGCCAGCGCAGGTTTCGGCGCAGTATTGCAAACGAACACCGCCCGCCATCGGTTCAAGGTTGCAGTTCCGCTAATCAAAGCGCACGTGCGGTTCCGCCGAATTTCGTTCCGTTTGTTCCGCGTACGCGTTTTTCCTGATTCCTGCGGAATCCACCATCGAAAGATTTTCTAGATCTCCGCGCCCGACCCCCGCGGACCGTCGGACGCGTTTTACGACCACGCTCGACGCGCGCGCCGAACGGCTAAGCTATTTTATAGCCGACGTTATTTCTATCCAAAGAGTGTCTAAATGGTATTTCGACCGTCCGACGCTAGAACTATCGAACCGATCGAAATAACTGGTTTCTCATTTTTCGCTTTACAATTCCCTGCACTATGAAAATCCTTTTCTCAGACATTTTTTGTACCACCCTCTTTGTACAAGATTAAATCGAGCCAATTTTGTCATTTTCGTAAAACAATACGTATACGTTGGTATACGTATATTTGGGGTCCGATAGTTCTAGCAATAAATAATCTAGTAACAACTAATCTAGCATAAATAAAATAAATAATTTCGAATAAATATGGCCCCTGTTTTACTAGCGATAAATAATCTAGTAATAACTAATCTAGCATAAATAAAATAAAAGATAATTTCGAATAAATATAGCCCCCTGTTTCACTAGCAATAAATTATCTATTATTAAATAATCTAGCATAAATAAAGTAAAAAATAATTTCGAATAAATATGGCCCTTTCTTTCACCCCTATTCTAATAAATTCGATCATTTATTCCAGATCGAAACCCGGCAGAAATCGTCCGAGAAACCGGCTTCGCATTTCCTAATCCTGCGAAACGGTCGGAACACGAAACGATCGAGGTTCTCTCCGCGCATAAAAGTCTCCCGACGAGGACGAATAAAGCGATCCAACGGTAGCAATAATTATCGAACGGTTTCGCTGTTTCCAGGACAGCTCGCGTGCACGACTGATTCGCCGAGGATACCTTTGCGCACGCGAGCCACCCCGTAGATCCCGGATCGACCGGTCCCCAGGGAGGAATCCTGGTCCCGGTAGCCTCGGATTAATTGGAATCATCCGAACGGTGATTTAATAGGTTGTTCATGGTGGCCGGGCCGGCAAAGTGGCCGCGCTGCGCCTTTGAGAAATTAAGGAACACGAGCGTCGCGGTTAAACGTCGTCGGCTGACGCTTCGACGATCGTCGCGAGTTTCGTGAGAACGAAGGGCGACGATTTGACGAGCACGCGGCGAGGGTCGACTCGTATTTTATTCTCGATAAGCTCGAGATTACTTGGAAAAATATTTTGCACGAAGGCTGAGAGGAACGCCGGTGAAAAATCGTCGCAACAGTCGGAAAACCGGCGAGAAACAGGGAAAGAAACCGGTTGTAAAATGTGCTCAGCGCGTCCGGGACATAATTCGCAGACGCAGTTTTATTTGTTGAGCGGAACGCTTCACTTTTTATCAGCCTCGCTCGCCAAACTGCAGAGAAAGAGAGAGAGAGAGAGAGAGAGAGAGAGAGAGGGAGAGAGAGCGAGAGAGAGAGAGAAAGGGAGAGTAAGTAGGTACTTTCGCAGAGATATTTCTTTTCGCAGCGAGAATTCCGCAGCACAGTTAGACCTAGACGGAATAGAACGCGAAACAAACGTAACGCTACACACAAGCTAACGTAACGTAACGCGACATAAGGTAAGGTAAGGTAAACGTCACGTAACGTAACGTAACGTAGTGTAACGGGGTAGCGAACGCGCCCCCATCTAAGGACAATACGCAGCCGTCGTATTTTTCAGGCAGGCAGTTTCAAGAGCCTCGCAAAAATATCGTTGGCAAGCGGGAGAGACGGCGGCGTGCATATGTCAGATTTATAGTAGTCGTAAACGAGGCTGGGCCGACGTGTGTCGCGCGGAAAGTTTCGCGGTTCGGCCCCGGGACCAACTTCGCAGCCGGTCTCTGGGTATAGTTTCCGCGGCGCGACGCGATGCGGCGCGGCGTGAACAAGTAAACCGAGAATATACGGCGACTCCGACCTATGCTAATTTCCCGTTGGAACGAACCGTGGCGAGCCCAGGGCTGACCCGACCAAAGGAAACCCGATTCCTCTGCAGACTGCTTCTCCGTCTACTCAAGTCGTTATTACTATTACTATTAGTAGTATTATTATCAGTATTATTATTATTAGTAGTAGTAGTGGTAGTAATATTATTAGTATTATTATTAGTAGTAGTAGTAATATTATTACCAGTATTACTATTACTATTAGTAGTAGTAGTAGTAGCAGAGTGGTAATAGTAGTAATATTATCAATATTATTATTATTATTATTAGCAGTAGTAGTAGTAGTAGTAGTAATATTATTAGTATTATTATCATTATCATTATTATTATTATTATTATGATTATTATTATTATTATGATTATTATTATTACTATTATGCTCCTATTACAATACATTATTGTCACTATTAATGCATTTATATAATATATGAAGTCCCCTAAACATGTCTTTATAATTTGAACACCGAAGCAGCAATATATTTTATTTAAGTCTCGCAGAGTCTTTACCATAACTCTTGCTCGAATAACGTAATTAATTCGAGCATTTTCCATGAAATTTTTTAAATCTAAATTTTGCGGAATTAAAAAACAAGAAATCGGTCGCTTCGACCTCGATAGAACGGAAACCTAGAAGAGAAGCATAGAGCACAGCAGTTTCCGGGCCGGCTCTTTGAAGACCGAGAAGACCAGTTTGCTTTGAAAGATCGAGAATTCGGCGCGGAACCGGGTTCGCAGGGCTCGTTCCCTTCGCTGGCTACGAAATTGGCTTGGACCGAGGCAAACAGGCAGGCACAGGTAGCGTCAAAAGGGTGGTTTTCTGGTGATGGTGGGAACATATTCCGCGGAGCGTGGCAAAGGGCACGTGGAAGCTCTCTCTATCGACCCGACGTCACTGCGCCGCACCGCGCCGCGCCGCACCGCACCGCGCTAACGATGGAAATTATAAGCGAGGAAATAACCAGTGGGCGATATTGGAATCCAATAAAGCAAGGAAAGTGAATAAACGCGCGAATGGAAATAGGGAGGCGACCGGCGAATTCGCTTTTACACTTGTCCAGCTTCGACAGTCGGGCCTGCCTGCTTGCCTACCCCTTTTCTCGCCCTTGTTCGCTCCGATTTCCAAGTATTTTCTCGGCTCTCGGGCACCGTCTCGAACTATTAAGACGGAACAATTGAACCGGAACCGCGCGATAGGCCTCTGTTTCCAAACTCGTAGTATAGGCGACCGAAATAAACTCGGCGAAAAGTAATAACGCGGGGCCACCGAACGCAGTTATTTTTTATGTTATTTTGTAAAATTAGCGGTCACGTATTACAGAGCAAATTCTCCCGAAAATTAACCTTTTGCATTCGAATTTTAACTTTGCATTTTAACTGTAAATCTAAAGCAATTTTTCTGACTTATAGTATTTCCATTTTATACGACGAAGTGCATTTTGTGCATATGAAATTTAGTGTTGCAATGACTCGTGCAACAGTTACGCTTTTGACCATCTTTTAAATATAAACTTTGTTAATAGAAAAATTATCTTGGAACGTGATGCAACAATTTTAGTGGTGGCTCAGAGTCACCACTCGAGTGCAAAGGGTTAACCCTCAACTGGGAGACAAAAATGGATCATTTGGGAAGAGGAGGCTTCGATTATTCGTCGACAATCGGCATACAATCGAATCTCCTTTTCCCAAATTGTCCACTTTTGCCTACAAAAAATATTAGGGAGAATTTACTATCAATTAGGGAGAATTAAGGAGAATTTACTATACTCCGATTTTTAGCAACGAATTACCGGGGACCATTTGCGCCGCGAGTCCGGAAACGCGTCACTTACGGTGGACGTTTCGCAAGAAGGTATCGGCCGATTCTTCGGGGAAGAAAGAAATCCGCTGGGCCAAGAAACGCAGGCGCCTGCGTGTCCGTGTAAAATCGACCGTATGCACTGGCCCGACGCGACGCGATGCGACGCGACGCAAGACGCAGGACGCAACACGTGTGCCATTTGTCAGACGGTCGTGGAAACATCTAAAGAGAGAGAGAGAGAGAGAGAGAGAGAGAGAGAGAGAGGACAATCTCTTTCTTTCTCTCTCTCTCTCTCTCTCTCTCTCTCTCTCTCTCTCGACAATGTCGTTCGCGCTCGTTAATTAGGATCACACTCACCGATATTCTGGTGCTGCAGCTTCCTGCATATCCGCGCCTCACGTTCGAGTTTCTGAAAGTCTGAAACAGAAATAGATATCGCAGGATCAGCGGTAATTGCAACGGTTCGCAGATCGCGATCGTTGCGAATGCAGTCGATGGGCGCCGCGACTTTGTCTTTTCTAACAGCGGGAATAATTCGCGGTATCGACCAAGGCTTCGTAGAATATTTATAGAGTGTTTTCCATGCTCTGCATGGAGAACGCAGCCCTTTTAATAGCTACTTACACCGCGACCGATCTCCGCCTCGTTATAAAAACTTTCTTTTCCAATTACACGTTTTCTCTTCTGGCCTTCTTCGGCCTATTTTTACCCCGAACGCAAACAGTTTCGTCCTTCCAGCGATTCGGCTAATTAGGCACCGCGTGTTCAATTTATCGTTCGTTAATCGACGGGTTAATCGCGAGCCCTTCGAACACGAGCAGAATCTTACCAACCTTCCGTTTTATACAGTTTCATTTATTATTAGACTGCGCATTTTACCGAGCGCAAAACAACGAAACTGGTTAAAAGCATTGTTCTATTATTTCCAATTTATCCAGAAGCCATTCGGAAATGAAACGCGCGCGTATGCGACTCCGTCTTGCGATCGATACGTGCTATTTTTATTTTCTATAATGATAAAAAGTCCACTCGTCGTGTACGCTACGCTTTCGTCGATTAATCCGTCGACCAAGAGATCGTCGAAACGAAACGATAGCGAGTGTGCGATAGAAAGTTCGATAGAAACTGGAAGATAAGAGGCCGGAGCGCGAAGAATTTTTCAGTCGATCGCAGAGCAGAGGCTGTTCGGCACGCGCTCGCCTTTAAATTTTTGCCGGCCGAAGGGAGACGAAAGTTTGCTCATCAGCAGGTAAATCGGAAATCCGTTTGATATCGAGCAGGATGGCCGCGATCTAGCAACGGCGCGGCGTGTCGCATCGAGAACGTTCCGGGGGTTGCTCTCTCTCGCGCGCGCGCGTGCGGGCGAGCTTTATCGCGAAAGTTCCGCGGTAACGACAGCCAATGCCGGGTATAATCATTACCGCGAAATCGAATTTCCCAACGAGCTCCCCCCGACCAGTTTCCCCGTGGGTAATCCACCAAGGACCGCGATAAAATTGGATTTGTCGATGGCCGAGTCGTTTCGAGGACGATTTCCTGTTTCCTTTCTGTACAGGAGCTTTCTGTAGGAACAAGCCGATGCTCCTTCGAGTATCGCCAATCGATGATCCGTCCCTCGTCCGGGGACCTTCCCCTAACGATCGTTCATTTCGCGGAAAATTCTTTCCCCGATCGGACCAATATCCGTCGCGATTTTACGAAACGCGCGCGGATTTACGTGTCGGTGTTACGGCGCTGCTAAATTCGCGTCCGCAGAAATTACAATGTAGCGAGGTAAATTTCTGGTCGATTCGATGCATCGATGCACAAATCGAGAAAGGCAGGAAAATGCTAAAAAAATGGAACTTATAAACAGACCGCGGATTTTGTGCATTCGTGACAGAAGCGAGTGCAGTAATGTCTCTCTAATTGACGCACAGATTGTCCCCAGAAATGGACAAATTGGAAAGAGGAGATTTTGCCAATTTCGAGGATTTTGAAAGCCTCGTTTTTATAATTACCGATTCTCAACAATTATAAAAACGAGGCGCAAGGCTCGAATAATCGTGTCTCCTTTTTCCAAATTGTCCACTTTTGTGGACAATCTAAGCGTCAGTTAGGGAGACATCACTGTAATGCGCCACGACGAGGTCCCCCATAGCAACAACCGTCAAGCACATGCGTTTTAACAACAACAAAATTACGCTAGTTGACCATGAGAGTTCCTAATAAATAAATAGTCCTCCGTAGCGTCGCGTAGCACGAACTTCGAGAGGAAACGTCTCTCGAAGTCTACGTACCGTCTCGTTTCGGCTCGAATCGCATCTCGTTTCGGTCGACAAGGGTAAGTTCGACGGGGACAATCGATCGAAATGCGGCGAGGAACCAGCGTCCATTAAGTGAAATTACGGAAGAAAGTTCTCGCCGCGATACGGTACGCGCATTCCGAGTTGTCCGCCATTTTTCGCCGATAAGGACCGCGCGATTCGAATCGAGTAACCCAGTTTTCCCTCTCTCGAACCCTCTTCTTCCTCGCGCCGCGCGCGTCTTTCCTCTTTCTTTTTTCCCCCTTTCGTCGAGTGGTCCGTCCTCCAATTTGCTTCTCCTCGTCGGGTTCCAGTGTTCTTCGCGGACCCTCGTCTCGTCGTAGGTGCTCGTTAATTCTGGTTGTTTAATGCGGCGGGGGCAGGGCCGAGCAGGGCGGGGGGCAGGGCGGGGGACAGGGCCAAGATCGTCGAGATACAACGAGATTTAATTATATGCGAGGAAACACCGGCTGCTCGAGCACCTATCCAGCGCCGGGACCGATCGACGTAATCTCGTTTTATTCGAGATATTGCTGGATATTGCTAGATGTTGCTAGATATTGCTAGGCTCCGGTGCTTCCCCCTAATTTTCATTAGCTTCGCGCTAATTTTCATTAGCCTCGCGAGGCTCCCGAGAGAAGAACGTTCCTCGCTAGAACATTTCTTATTGTAATTTGCTAACGTTAACCTCTTTGCACTCGAAGTCGTTTCAACTAGAAGAGACCAGGACTTCCAACATCAGTCGTCGATTCTTTCAGTGTCTTTTGGTCTTTCTTTTGCACCGTTTAAAATCGTAGCACTAATTTCCGTGATAAAAGCATCATATCCGCAGTTCAGCGATCGCGACGCGAGTTAAATGAAGCATCGAACGGCATCCGTCGATTAGCAGGCCAATTTTTACACATTCGGAGGAAACGAAATGTAGGAGGATCTGAAAAGGAATTTGCAATTGTCTGAATCGCGTACGGAATATGCAAAGGGTCTATCGAAACTCTTTAAGCTCTCCAGAAGTCCACGGTGCAGCCACTCGACCGGCATTTTCTCGCCACGTGGACTCGTCGAGATAGAAAGACAAGGGCGAAGAAGGGAGAAGAAGAGGGCGCAGAGGACGAAGAGGCGAAGAGGCTCGTCCCCTCGACCGATAGCATCGGAGAACGCAGGGTGCACGAGAGTCCGCGACATTCTTCTCACGCCCGAGAGATCAAGGGCTGCAGATCGAACGGCCTTCGCGTCGTCCTATCGTTCTCAACCCTCTCGGTTGCGTTCGCAACGGCGACTAGGGACGAAGAACGATCAAGGTGCAGCAAACAAGAACGAGATCGAGAGAAAGAGAGAGAGAGAGCGAGAAAGATTGACGGAGAATATTCGCCGAGAGTTTCGTGACATTCGTGCTCCGTCGGACGCAAAGTAAGCAACGGCCTTGCAAATGCGAAAGGACACATCGCGGCACAGCTCGGCTCACAAAGCCGGCAACGTCCGTCAACGATGCACGCGTGCGAACAAGGAAGATCGTATTTTTATCCGGCCGCGGAGAGGGTAGCCTGGGGACCAAGGACGGGAAAACGCGATCGCCGATCATCGATCCGGAGACGCGGCTCGATTACACCCCCGGGAAGACTCCTCTCTCTTCTCCAAAACCGGACGAAAACGTCTGTTTTCGGCGCTCGTTTCTAGACGAAACGAATTCGAGACAGCGATCTACTTGTCTTTGACCGATCCGTAGATCGGCAGATCACGGATTCCACGCGATCGTGGCTAAATCAGAACATCCGCGATTTAATTCTTTCCTGGCGAAGGGTTTTTAAAGAATCGAGCATCGAATAAAACAGTAATGTCTCTCTAATTGACGCACAGATTGTCTCCAGAAATGGACAAATTGGAAAGAGGAGATACGATTAATTCGAGTCTTGCGCCTCGTTGTTGTAATTACTGATTCTCAACAATTATAAAAACGAGTACGCAGGGCTCGAATAATCGTGTCTCCTCTTCCCAAATTGTCCACTTTTATGCACAATCCAAGCGTCAATTAGAGAGACTTTACTGTAATTCGATCGCTCGACAGCCGTCGATTTTTCCGCGACTGCGCGCTTCCGAGTAGAATGAAAATTTCACGGTTCATCGTGAAGTAAGATCGCGAAGGCAACTAAAACGCAAGAGCGGTTCTACGGTCTACTCTGATTCTTTAACAAGGAGAAGTTCGAAGAAGAAGAACAAGAAGAAGAAGTAGTAGTTCCGTCGGCCGAGCTAAAATAATTAAGTACCTCATAAAGTTCCGAAAGAGAAGGGAATTCGGTCAGCGAGACGACCGGGGTGCCGCTGAAAGATTCAGCGACGCCGAAGCGATTGTTTCGCCGTTAAGGGAATTAATCCACGGCTCGGATTCGCTCGGTTCGGCTCGGCTCCGCTCGCGGCGACTTGTCTAGGACCGGCTGGCGTGGAAGCCACTGGTTCTATCTTTGGCATCGGTTCCAGTTTCTCTGCAGAGGCGAAAGGTAACGAGGGTTGAAGAGCAAGAAAAAAGGTTGCAGTAAGCAGGCAAGATGAGCCTTCGTCTCTCTCTCTCTCTCTCTCTCTCTTCGTCTCCCTCCCTCTCCCCGGCTGTCCGCAGCCGCCTCTCTTTCTCTCGGCGTGTTTCGCGGGCCGTGGGATGCCACGGCTGCACCCTCTTCCACCGGCCGCGACCTTGCTCCAGTAACCTCTTGACCTACCGCCACGGCCGCCGTTCGACTCTACGCTTCTGCAACGAATAAAGCGCAGGGAAGAGCCGATCGGTGGTGCATCCTCGGGCTCACCTTGAATCAGCCCGACCGGGACGCACGCAGGTGATGCGAAACGCGAGAGACGCGGGACGAAATGCGCGATTCCCCGTGGCCGAGACCCGTCCTCGACGCCATTTCCTGCCGACTTCCAGCTTCCTGAATCCCCTGCGAGTCCGTGGCAATTCCCGGGAACCTGCCGCTAATGCCACGGATATTCCAGCGAATGCTTCAACCCCCTGCGCGCCGCGATTTCTCTCTTGCAACCCGTATCGATTCGCGCTTCTAATAATTTTATTATTTTTCCTGAGGGAGCGAGACGATTTTTATTTCTCGCGTGGTCGTAATTCAGAGTGATTGACACTCGGATTACAGTAATGTCTCTTTAATTGACGCCGAGATTGTCCACAAAAATGTCTCCCTTACTGACGCTCAGATTGTCCATAAAAATGGACAGCCTTGTGGCTCATTTTTATAATTGTTGACAATTCGTAACTATAAAAACAAACTGCAAGGCTTGAATAATCGTATCTCCTCTTCCCAAATTGTTCATTTTCGTGCACAAACTGAAAGACAATTAGGGAGAATTTACTGTAAACGGAGAACGCTCGAGAAATGAAAATTGTCTCGTTTTATCAGGGTTAAATTAGGGCGATCTGCTTTCATTGCTAAAGCTCGACAACGGAACATCGATTGAACAGATAACGGAAGATAACGGACAAGGGAGAAAGCTTCGGGGATCGATTGTCGACTCGCCAGGGCGAATTAGTACGAGAAATTGTCTCCCGAACGCGAGACGTCGGCCAACTTCGATGGCCAACTCGACGCCCACGCGTGGATCGGGGCGACTGAAATGTCAAAGAACGCATCTCGCAGAGGGAAACTTTGACCTATCGAGGCGGTTCTCGGAAAATCTGATCAGCGTCGCGCGAGAACCGGGTCGGTAATAATTCGCGGACTGTCGTGTGCCCGAGAGAAAAGGATTTCGAGAGGCAGAAATGAGACGTCGGTGAAGATCGAACGGTGTAACGGAAAAGGGATGAATACGGTAAAGTTGATGCTGATGGAATTATTAATTCGAAAACCGAGAATTTTTGCCTGTCTCTTCCAATCGAACAATTAATTCCGTCGATTAATTCCATCGTCGATTTTTCGACGATTTTAATCAACGACTGACGATTACGATCAACGATCGCTTAATTCACCGGACGACTTTTCGACGATTTAATACCTTTAATCGACGATCAACCATTGCAATCATCGATCGATTAATTCAATAGACGACTTTTCGGCGATTAATGCCTTTAATCGACGATCGACGATTGCAATCATCGATCGATTAATTCAATAGACGACTCTTAAATAACAAATTTTAATCGCTCGATGCCCAACGCTGATTCAGTGTACCGCGATGGATATAAGAAAATACATATTAACGCGAACAGAAGAAAAAAATGGAAGGATGAACGATCGCTGGAACGAGCAGTGATCATACTGAAATCATTCGGAATAAGGCTGCTATGCTTAGCGAGGTCGAAGGTCCCGAAAAATCGGTGCTCGACCCGCGGCATCGGAATTTCCGGTGAAATTGGTCGAAGACGCCGACAAACGGAGGGTGAAGGATCGATGGGCCACTCCCCCACAGCAGCCCCTTTGATATCCGCCGCGAATCAGAATTTCAAATGGCCGGCGAAACTGCCGAGTGCTCGATTAATTATTCCGGGCCGGAAGTCACGGCGACCGTTGCTCCTTTCTTCCGAGCTGGACCTCCGGTCCGGCTGCTCGCGTTTTCTTCTGCAAGTGTTTAGGATTCGAGCCTTCTCCCTTCCGTAAGCCAATTTTTTTGGAACACGATTCGCGTTCCAAATATTTCGCGAAATTTGTCTTTTCTTTTTCTGCTTCTTGTAAAATGCAATCGCCGCGTCTTCCCGAGGATTTAACACGACATTCACAGGAATTCTTATACGTTTTCAATTTTTCTTCCTCTCTTTGTATTCTTCTTAATTCAATTCGTAGGACGCGTTAAGACAGTTGATTAAATTGCTGCGGTTAAAGGGTTAACTAAAAGGGATCGATTAAAAAGCAATGTTACGACGATTTTTAACGCTACAACAACCGAACTCGACTAAATTGAATATATAAAATATTCGTATATGTACAGTTTCTACTATAATAAAATTTATCTAAAAATGTCTCGCAGAGAAATGTTTACAACTTCTGAAATTGCGAAAGAAAAAATCAGATACAATTTCAACTGATTTAGTAATTGAACGCGTATACTACAGAATAAATCATTATAATCATGTATAAAACAAATAATTTTCTATCGACGAGGAGACGGAAAACTGTCGAAACGTGCTGGTCGAAACCTTGACTTCGACATCGGAGATCGATATGAAAAATACGAAGATACGTTGCTGTTAAGAAAAAGATCGCGAGCAGACATCAGCCTGGAGGAAAACTGCTCCCTGGAAGAAACCGGCTGCCCCTTGTTGATCGTTCCGATTAGAAGAGAAAGATCGCCGAGAAGGGACAGGCTCTCAAGCCGCAAGAAGAGAAACGATCAGCACCCATTCTTTTTCTACCCCGAGTGGATTCTTGCCCCCGCATTCTGCGCGCGACCCTCGAAAATTCCTCTCGACGCTCGGATTCCCCGGCTCGATCCCGATCGAAGACGACACAGTTGGGGTAAGCTTCCGACAGCTTCCCAGCCAGCCTGTCGACTTGTTGCTGGAAACCGTCTAGGCGAGCGACACCTTGGCTTCTCCGCCCTCGTCGGTCACTGTTAGCGCACCTGTTTTCCCGTTACAGAGGCACGTTCGCCATTTTTAGACCGATCTGTTTTAGAGAAATCGCCGACCATGAAATTGGAAGACCGTCTTGGGTCCGCTTTAGAGGACGTGACTCGAACTTTGGGTCAAGAAATTGCGGCGAATGACGGCGGAATCACGGATTGAACTGGCTTCGGCCCTTTGTCAAATTTTTACTGTTGGACAATTTCTTTTTTTTGTATTATTGTAGAATTTTGTTTGTACTGTTAATTAGCTTTGTCACTATCCTACCATTCTATCACTACTATCATTACCCTTAATTCTAGTTTCACTGTCATTAGTGCTCCAATTATAACCTCATTCTTCTCCTTACTATTATTATACAGTCGTACTTGCCTACTCGCTATTATTACTCTGTCCGTAACAAAGTGCCCACCCACGACAAATAAGCTAAATTAAGTACTTCTAAATTTTCTACAAATTTATCTAGCCTGTTCTATGGAGATTGTCCCGGCGGGGCGTGGCTTCTGCAGGACAGTGCCCCAGAGGGCGATCTCTGCTTGTATCTTAATATTCCAGCTGAATCATCCTCGTCGCCTCTGTATAGCGAGCGTTCCCCAGCATCCCAGTAATCTCAGATGAGTCAGTGGAGGCATTAGGATAGCGGCCAACGAATCGATTGATAGCGATAATAAAACTGGCGGTACAGCTGCTCGGGTGACGGACCCCGGGCCGATACTAAATTTATCGATCGCCGAATCCTAGAGAAGACAAAGACGACCGACGAGATCGATGGATTCGTCGAGATGATCTTGCGTCGCATTCGAACGAATTTTTATTCGAATGAATTCTTATTCGAATGAATTCTTATTCGAATGAATTCTTATTCCAATGAATTCTTATTCCAATGAATTCTTATTCGAACGAATTCTTATTCGAACGAATACTTATTCAAACGAATTCTTATTCGAATGAATTTTTATTCGAACGAATTCTTATTCTAATGAATCCTTATTCTAATGAATCCTTATTCGAATGAATTCTTATTCGAATGAATGCTTATTCGAACGAATTCTTATTCGAACGAAATCTTATTCGAACGAATTCTTGTTCGAACGAATTCTTATTCGAACGAATTCTTATTCGAATGAATTCTATTCGAACGAATTTTTATTCGAACGAATTCTATTCGAACGAATTTTTATTCGAACGAATGCTTATTCGAACGAACTCTTATTCAAACAAATTCTTCTTCGAACGAATTCTCATTCGTCTAAAATTTGATTCGGACAAACGATCTACATAAATTTTTACATTAAACATTTATCCGACGCTGTCGAATAGAATTCGATACGAATAAATTCTCATCCGGCTAAATTTTGATTCGTTAGTCTTTATCTCTTATCCGCGAACCGCGTAAAATGTTGGCCAGCTCCGCTTCCGCCACGGGCGATGAGAAACAGGATCGATCATCGATACCGCGGGTGATATCGGTTAATTAACGTGTACACGAGATTTCGCGAACGTTACGCTACCGCGGTCTCATGAATATTGATCGATCGGAGGCCGACCGGCGTTCGCTACGCCAGTGGAGGATCGTTTCGCGTGGCGGACAACGGCGTAGGACGTTCGGTCGCGAGTTTTCTCGAAATTCGCGAGCGCCATCCGGAACCGTCTTCTGCTGTTTAACAATGAATAATAAAACAGGAACCACCGTGGTGTCCTGCCGCGATTTGGCGACCGTGCTTGCCGTGTCGGTCGGGATGGAATGTTTGTTGGCAGGCTTACAACGGCGTCGCTCGTTGTTTTTAGTCGGCGCGGCGAGTCTTCGGCTCTCGAGAAGAGGTCCGGCTCTCTTTTCCCGATTTCCGCGTCGAATCGCGGGAAAAGCGCGAATACAATGCCTCGCGGGACAGAAATAATTAGCGAGTGCCTCGAGGAACAGAGGAAACGGCTCGTCAACTTCTATGCTCCTCGATTTCCTAGGTCGACGCTGCTTCGTTCCATTCGACGAGATTTAGCGCGATCGACTCTTTTTACGGCACGTTTCGACTTATTAACAACAGCGACAAAATAGACGTACAGTAATGTCTCCCTAACTGACGCTTAGATTGTCCACAAAAATGGACAATTTGGGAAAAGGAGACACGATTATTCGAGCCTCGCGCCTCGTTTTTACAGTTGTTGAGAATCGGTAATTATAAAAACGAGGCGCAAGACTCGAATTAATCGTATCTCCTCTTTCCAATTTGTCCATTCCTGGGGACAATCCGCGCGTCAATTAGAGAGACATTACTGTAATCGTAACGCACGAATTCAGAAATTCGTCCAATTGTTTCCCGTCGAAGCGCCTTCATAATCGGAACAATTTGCAAAGAAAACACGGGAGATCGGTCCCTTTTCTCGATCCTGAATGTTTCAAAGAGAATCGAAGAGCAATTCTGACGCTGGTGCACGGTGTCGCGAGTCTCCGTCGATGAAATATGCAGCGGGGCGGATCTCGCTGCAGTCGCATCGATGTCCTCGCCCGTTACCGGAGTCTCGAGTATATCGCGAATTACGGTCTCCGGTGTAAAGGGAATAAACAAACGCTTACCTCTGGCCGTGAGCTTTTTGGTATTTATGATTTTCGCCGCGAACTCGTGGCCGGTGCTCTTTTGAACGCATCGTCGCACCACCGAGAAGGCACCTCTGAAACAGAAAACAGACGCGCGTCAGAACGACGAAAAAACGGTGAACAATTTCGGTCGATTATTAACCCTTTGCACTCGAGTGGCGACTCTAAGCTTAGATATAAAAGATTGTTAAAAGTCTAAGTGTCGTATGAGCCGTAAGACTCAATTTCATATGCATGAAATGGACTTTATCGTATAAAATGGAAATACTATGAGTTAGAAAAGTTAATTTAGATTTGCGATTAAAATGGCTTCGAGTGCAAAGGGTTAACCCTCGACTGATGTAGTTCAAAAACTGGCATGCTTTCGGGACCTCGAAAATTCGAGGATGTCGTTTGAACGATCTGGGGCATCGTTTCCTTCATTAGAACTCGATACAGTAATGTCTCTCTAATTGACGCTCAGCTTGTGACGTCTCCTCTCCCCAAATTGTCCAGTTTCGTGCACCATCTGAGCGTCAATTAGGGAGACATTACTGTACATCGCATCAAAGTACAATAAATTCTCTGTAATTTTCCTTGAGCTTGCAAACGAAAATGGACAATTTGAGAAAAGAAGATTATAATTGTAATAAATATTGAGATCGTAAATTATTGATTATGAACACATTCATTTCTAATTTATCCTCCCCATCACAAGTCGTCCATCTTCGTTTGCAATCCGATAGAAAATTCGAGAGACTTTACTATACACCGAATTAATCGACTTAATCGTTAATTTCACTTCTACGAAAACAAAATACGTACAATTTGACTGAGCAACAAGTCACTTAAATTACGCGAAAAGATGGGATCGACAGTTCGGTACGGTCGTACCAAAAGGGGAAGTTCGTTTTCGGTGGTTGCAGCAACTACGAACGGCGTCCGCCGGATTAATCGAGCCGACCAGGGTACCTGTAAACTTGGCGATACTATATGTTTGGTCTCTTAAACGGTGCCGCGACTCGAGAGCTGTTCGAGGGGCAAACTTTCTCGATTAGCACGGCGTCGGTCCGCGCCGGGTGTAAATCCAGCGGCGCGCGACGAGGCGGGCCGAGGCAAAGTCGAAAGTTCGTCAACGGGGCGTCGATGATGCGATTGCGTCGTCGAGGGCGGGATTGGCTAGTCGGAAGTTCTCGGGTCCTCGTTCGAGCGGGTCGCAGGACGACGACGCGTCGTCGGACGATTTCAAAACCGAGGAACGATTTCGAAGACGGAATTCGAAGACGCCGCGAGCCGAGCCGAAGACGAGTATTCTTCTTCTTCTCCGAAGAAGATCGAAGCCAAGGGACTCGTAGTTCCGCTTCCAACCGGCTGTGTTCGAGAGCGGCTCTCGTCCGTGATCCGGCTCGAGGGTAAAAAACGAGCCGCGGAGCTCGAAGGCTGACGAAAACGCGGTAGGACGAAAGGTCAAGCCTCGCGGACGACGTGTTGCGGAGGCCCGACGCCTGTATCCTTCCCGAAAGTAGTTCAAGGCAGACCGCATCGGCGCAAACGCGGCTTTAATGTTTCATCCTGCGGGCGTCGTCGGCGTCATCGGCGTCGCCGCAGCCCGGAGGGCAGCCCCTGCTCTCTCTCTCTCTCTCTCTCCCTCTCAACCTGCGCCTGCACCCGCACCTGCGTTACGCTCCTGCTGTCCCATCTGTCTACGAACCGAGCTACCCGCGCGATCAAAAAGGGCGAGGCGGCCGCTTACCCGGTCTCCATGGAGACCAATCATTACCGGAGATTGCACGGCGACCTAACCCGCGATTCACCGGAACAGCTCGATCGCGCGATTCTTTCTGCTCGATTCGATCGGTAATTGTCGTCCGGGCGAGGATCTCCGAGGTCCGCGGACCTTCGGGCATCCTTCGGGCCTCCTTCGCAAGGTCATCTGCGACTCGCGCGTGCGGCCCCATCGGTCTTCCCCACGCGGCAATTCGCGAATCGTCGCGCGGAAGAGGACTCGAAGCCCGCTCTCGGCCCGAAGTTGCCCACGGGCCTCCTTCGCGCGTGCGGTCCCATCGTTCTTCCACGCGGCGATTCGCGAATCAAGATTCAACGCGGCGCATTTGAAGTTAGAATCCATCGAACGCGAATCACGATTCGCGAGTTATCGCGCAGAAGAGGACTCGGAGCCCGCTCTTGGCCCGAAGTTGCACTATCGCCTCGTTGCTCTAATTTTCCCGCGGCTTCGGTTTGTTCCCAGATATAATAAACTTTATCCATAATAAACGTTACCGAATACGATGTATGAAATTGTTCTACTCTTTTACTTCGTTCATCTTCGAATAAAATAACAAATGACTGCGCGCGTCTTACTCGATAAATCGAAAGTTAACCACGACAATAAAATCAAAGCCACGGTGTGATATGGCGATCGCGGATGCGCCCCGAAGGAGTCCGAACAACTCTACGAACTGGAAGAGTACGAATCCGACTATTTTCGCTGGGGTTCTAATGGGGATGCTTGCAAAGCGATGCGACGCGATGCGGTGCGGCTCGACGAGGCCAACCACGGACAATTCAAGGGGATCTATAACGAAGATATAAAAAGAGAAGTGGAGCGCGTGGGGCTGCGGGGGGTTGGAAAGGTGTGCGGAGAAGCCCACCGACGCAGAAACGGTGGTCGAGCGACAGTGTCGGCCTTGAATCGAGCCACTCGCTCGACGACGCGCAACTAGGGCGTGCAAGAGAGCGACGGGATGCGCCGCCTTCTTCAAAGAGCGGAGCAGAGCGGAGCGGAGCGGAGCCGAGGCGAGGCGAGGCGAGGCGAGGCAACGCGCGTGTATCTCTCTCACTGCTGGCAGCTAGGGGCGACGACGCCGTTGCGTCTTTTGCAGCCGCGTCGGCGACAAGCGCAATGTCGATACCTTTAAATACACGGCGGTCGGCTTTGGTGCACGTTCCCATGCACGGATCCTGCGACCGTAAGTGCACCGTCTCTCTCTCTCTTTCTCTCTCTCTCTCTCTCTCTCTCTCTCTCTCTCTCTCTCTCTCTCTCTCTCTCCGGCTATAAACGCGTCCCAGTACGACCCGTTTTATCGCTGATCGATTCCCCACGCGGCTCGCCGGCGAACTGGAATGGCGAGCAAGCCGGTTAGCGAGCATCTCGCTAGCGTCTCGCTAGCATCTAGCTAAAAGCTAGCTGCTGCCGGATAGGCGTTACGTATCGCGCCGGTATATTTCTGTTTTATGAACCCGGAGATCCTTGGATCCACGGAGCCGGCTGAATATACGACGGAAGCTGAGAAGCTGCGCTCGTAAGAGACCCCGTTTATTTACAAAGTTGACGGTTCTCTGTTAGATCTCAATTTGTTTGCTTCCATCGCATCGCGCCGCTCCGCCCCACAGCTCCCCGCCGACCGTCTACCAGAGCATCCAGCGACTTTACGACGCGTGGTGTACGCGTGGACAGAGCAGAAGCTTCGAAAAGGAAACGGGATGCTCCGCGCGCCCGCTCCGCGCCCGCGCCCCGTCGCGCGATCTTTCGGCAGATTGCTCTCCTCGCGGAGCGAATATTTCCGTCGGGGAACGCTCTGCAAGCCTGGGTCGGGTCGCGCTAGGCCAGGGGCACGCCGCTAGCTCCTCCGAGGGCAACCAAGCCACGCCTACTCGCAGCAAGCCACGCCTCTTCGCGAGCGTTTCACGGGATACCCGCGTTCTCCGGTGTAAACGACGCCAGGGACCGAGAGTCGAGGCGAGAGACGAGACTTCAGGGCTCGGAGAAACGGTCGAATGGTAGCCCAGGGGGTATTAATTCGCGACCGACGCTCTAACCGGTAATTATCCGGAGCTTTTCAGCTCGGAGATCGAACAGTCCCCGCGAAGACCGGCGAAAGACCGACACCGCGAGCAAAGATCGATTGCGCGCGCATTTCCCCGCAGAATCCTAGCCCACGGTTTTATAGCGAGACGGATCGGTGTTAGCTGACGACTTGAACGCATCGGGTCACAAAAGACCCGGTAAAGTAACAAAGACATGAATGATCATGCAATGAAGCTGCGGTATAAAACATCGACGATCGACCGAGAGATCGAACCGAGAAAATCGGTGTTTCGTCGCGCTTGTAAGCCGTGTCGGGTTGTGTCGGGCCGCGCGCGGGCGCGCAGATTGCGCGACACGGTTCTCGAGTGCGCCGCCCTTATCGGAGGCCCATTGTTCCGGGGAATTCACGGGTGGTAAACGCGGCGGCGATCACCGCCCTCCGAATAATCGGTGATCCACGGCGGACGCGGTCTCGACCGGATCTCTCGAGAATTATCCGCGACCATTATCGCCGCCAATTAACGGGATCGCACTTCGATACACCTTCGAGACGCCGCGCGAAATCGAATCACCGTGCCGGCGTTCTATACTGATTGCGAACGGGTCGCGGCGAGGGGTTCTCGTTCTACTCGAGGCACTTGCGACCGAGTTCACCGTTCGGGTAAACACCGCTCGCCGTAGGATTACCGGCAACGAGTCAACCGTTTCGAGAATGCAATCGATAGACTGCGGATTTTTATGCGAACCGAGAGAGAATCCTTTTTCTATTCTCGTTGCTTCCTTTCGGTGCGCTGCTTGCGAGCGCTGTCGCAACGCGTGGTCTTTTTTCCGTCGATCGAGTACATTTTTGTCGTATTTCTACGACATTGATTCAACGCGAAAATCAATCTGCCGAATAGTTTATCTGTTCTATAATTGTTGTTTGATCGTGTCAATTAGCGCGGACGTGTTCGTAAAGAGAAAACGCGCCTTCCATGATTAATCCTTTGCACTCGAACGGCGAGTCTGAGGTGCCACTAAAAATTGTTCTACCATTTTTCAATGGAATAATTGTAACAATATCAGATTTGTTTTATTTAAAAATACCGTTAAAATTGCAATTATTGAACTTGCCAATAGGCACAATTTCAGATGCGTAAACTGCACTGAATCATGTAAAACGGAAATACTGCGGATCAGAAAACATCTTTTGGATTTCGACATTGATGAAACATTAACTGTTTCAGGGTCACTGTCGATGCACAGCGTTTTCGTATCGTGATCGATCGAATTAGGGTATCAAGAAGT